TTGGGTTACGAGGCTTTCGTAAGACGAGATACTCATGACAAGCTCGAACCTCGTAGTGAGCGATGTATTTTCATCGGCTACCTGCAGAAATCCTTTGGATATCTCGTCTATAGACCGAGTGACAATGTTGTCTTCATTGCGAGGAGAGGAGTTCTCCGAGAGAGAGAACTCACAAGCCAAGGAGATAGTGGGAGGCAAATCGAGCTTGAAGAGATTCAAGAATCGATTGATGAAGGAACCTCTACCGTTGGGAATCAACCCGAGGAGGAAACTCCGGTTGAACCTATTGACCAGTCCTTACCTCTTAGACGTTCCGAAAAAGTTAGAGTTCAACCCCGGTTTTATGGTTTTCATATTACTACCGAAGGGGACACGTATATTAGTGATGGTACACTAATAAATCTAGATGAACCTAGTAGCTTTAAGGAAGCCATGGCAGGCCGAGAGTCTGCAAAATGGAAAGAGGCAATGGACAGCGGGATCCAATCCATGTATGACAACCAAGTTTGGAACTTGGTTGATAATGTGCCCGGATGTAAGACCGTTGGGTGCAAATGGATCTTCAAGAAGAAGACCGACGTGGATGGAAATGTACACACATATAAGGTGCGATTAGGTGCGAAGGGCTTTAGTCAAACTCCCGGAGTTGACTATGATGAGACATTCTCACCAGTTGCGAAGATAAAGTCTATTAGAGTGATGCTAGCTATTGCCGCATTTCATGATTATGAGATTTGGCAAATGGATGTCAAGACCGTTTTCCTTAACGGGAAGTTGGCTGAGGATGTTTACATGGCTCAGCCAGAGGGTTTTGTTGATCAGAAGCATCCGAATAGAGTGTGTAAGCTTGAGAAGTCCATTTATGGACTTAAGCAAGTGTCTCGCAGATGGAATCTTTGCTTCGATGAGAAAGTCAAAGAGTTTGGATTTGTACGAAGAGAAGATGAATCATGTGTATATTTCAAATCCAGTGGGAGTATAATCAGCTTTCTCGTTTTGTATGTCGATGACATACTGCTCATAGGAAATGACATCCTGACTCTACAGGAGGTTAAGTCCTGGTTCGGGAAATGCTTCGCTATGAAGGACCTTGGAGAGGCTTCCTATATTTTGGGAATAAGGATAGTGAGAGAAAGAAGTAAGATACTAATAGGACTTACTCAAAACACTTACTTAGATAAAGTACTAAAACGTTTTAGTATGGAAAATTCGAAGAAGGGAGAATTACCAATACAAAGTAATGCCAAGTTGAGTAAGACTCAAAGTCCGAGTACCGAAGCCGAGATAGCAGAGATGAGCCGAGTACCTTACGCTTTCGCAGTTGGCTCAATCATGTATGCTATGACTTGTACTCGCCCTGATGTAGCCTTTGCTTTGAGCATGGTTAGTAGTTATCAAGGGAATCTAGGCAGATCACATTGGATTGCGGTCAAGAATATCCTTAAGTACCTTCGGAGGATCAAGGAATGGTTTTTAGTCCTCGGGGGGAGTGATGACTTAAAGGTGCGAGGGTATAGTGACGCCAGCTTTCAAACCGACATGGACAACTTTCGTTTGCAGTCGAGCTGGGTGTTTACCCTTAATGGAGGAGCAATAACTTGGAAAAGTTCCAAGAAGGAAACCGTAGTTGATTCAACGTGCGAATCATAGTACATTGTAGCGAGCGAAGCGACGAAGGAGGCAATATGGTTGAAGAACTTCATTGGTGATCTTGGAGTTGTGCCTGCCATAAAGGAGCCTATGGAAATTTTCTATGATAATGAAGGAGCGGTTGCCTTCACCAAGGAACCAAGGGATCATGGTAGATCTCGTCATATCGACAGAAAATATCATTTCATTAGACGTCGAGTAGAAGAAGGACACCTCGTGGTAAGGAGGATATCATCAGAAGATAACCCAGCAGATCCGCTTATGAAGGGACTGAGTAGGGTTAAGCATTTGCAGCATGCTAGGAGTATTGGGCTGAGAGATGATATTAGATTAGATTAGATAATTTTAGAAAATTGTAATAGATAAATGTAATTTAACATTTGATGAATAAATAAAGGAGTATTATTTATAAGTAAAGTTACTGTCTTATGTTAACTGTTTAACTATTGTTTCACTTTGCATGTTTTGACTTCCAAAATAATTGCGTTTATTTAGAATAATCGAATTATTCGAACAATCCACAATCGTTCATATGTTGGAAGTAAGTATGAATGAAGATTGTCATGAATTGTTATGTAGATTGTCTAAATGGTATTGGACATAGCAAAAGTTTGCTGCAACGTTCATGAGTGCTTATGAACTAGCTTTGAGCATTAGAACAAACCTGCGCTTGCTAGAATCACCTTATGGAATTTGACGAAAAGGTTGATCGCAAGACGATAATACCATATGGTCTTAAAACCTAGATATATGGTTTGTTATTTGTTAATTGGTTGTACATTGATAATGCGAAACCGCATCAATAAATTGATGTCATAAAACGCATTGTTGTGTATAATTGATTAATGAATAAGTAAATGCATATAAGTCGAAGTTTATCTGTTACTTTTATCATAAGAGGCTAAAAGCGATATCTCGGCCGCTCGATGATTTGATTTGACTTATGTGCCGGGCCCAGTCAGAACTAAATTGATGTCTTTGATTAAGTTCTATGTCGAATAAATCTGAGATCAAGAAACCAACTGCTGGACAATTGGTTCCATAGATTTGTCCGCATGATATCTAAACAAAGGACTGTACGATCCCTTATCTAAAGGGCAGGACTGTTAAGATCAGAGTTTGACAATGTCTTTAAGAGCTACGATTGCTAATCGGTATATATAGTTACTAGACTTATCCAAGTAGGAGACTGTTGGAATAATGTCTAAGGTTGCAACTATATTTGGTAAGTACTTGACTCGATTGAGCATGGTCCTTTTGGGTTGCCTTCACCATAGCAACTTGACAGGATGATTTATAATGAGAGAAGAAATATTATTAATATATTATGAGAATAATATAAGGAATAATAATATTGTTATTTGATTAATATAAGTCATCAATTAATTAGGAATTAATGTGGTGACTTAAAGAGATTAATTAAATAAAAGGGCATAAATTGTTAATTGTATGATAGTTGTATTTTGAGCAGTGATTCTTTATGGATAAGGGGTGGACGGATTTTAGGGTTTGGAAGAGCCTAGAAATCTTCCAAGGCTTATCAATAAGGAGATTGGATTGCTTAAGGACTAAGTTATCCAATTAGGGTTTAAGGATGAAACCCTAGGAGACTCACTAGTATAAATAGACCCATAGGGGTGAGGAAATCGGCACCCTTGGTATTGGAGAAACCCTGGCCGACTTTTCTCACCCTCCCCCCTCTCTCTCAAATCATCCTCTTGCTAACTTGGTGTTTGTAAGCCATTAGAGGAGTGACATTTGTGACTCTAAGCTCCAAGGACAAGAAGATTGAAGCAAGTAATTCAAGGTAATCTTTCAGATCTGATTTCTTATGTTATTATACTAGATCTATCAATCAAAGTCTTGGATACATTGCATGTTCAATTAGAGAAACCTAGATCCAAGCATTAGGGTTTGTATGTGCACATAGGAATGTTCTTATGGCTCAAAACCATCAATAATATCCTAGCATATATACATATTTCACATACTGCCTAGCATATCTAGGTACTGTCTTACCCCTTCAATCCTTTCGACCGGTAACAGGGTCTATCCTACCCTTCCTACCACTACCACATAATATCATAACATACTAGCACATAAAGCTTAACAGATAGTGGCATACCAGACCATTATCACAAAGACATCCATCTCAACTATAATCAGCTACTATTAGGCCAACATTGGTGGCTTCGACCCACTTCTACTGGAAGCTAACTCACCTAAAATGTTGTGAAGTAGCTGAACTATCCTCGGCTCTGAAATATGCCCCACTCAAACTCCTACACATAAAGTTTTCCTTTAGTTACCCCATTTCATGCTCATAACCCCTTAAGGGTAAGCTTTGATCAAAGTCAAAGTCAAGCTCAACAGTCTGGTGAAAGTCAACATCTGGTCAAAGTCAACGTTCCGAGTTGATTCAACTCACCGAGTTAACACATCAACTCGGTGAGTTCCATAAATCCAAAAACTCTGAACTCACGATCCAAATCGTTGAGTTCTTTCACAACACGTCAAGTTCCTCCTATCCATGGTATCAGGCCTTTCCCACTCTACTCGTCGAGTCATCATTAAACTCGTCGAGTTTTCCCTTTTAAAGAATAGGGACATTTCAACCCAACTTGTCACGTTCCTCTATGGAGTTGACCAGTTCTTCAGTCTATTGAGCCATCTTAATAGATTAAGCTCCTATCCTTTAGATTTGGACTCCACAGTTCTTCAACACACTGAAAATGTCCTTTTAAGGGTAAAGTTTCCAACTTTATCTATTAATAGCTTCCTTCACTACTAGAAAAAGACCCTTTACGATGCACAAACCACGACACGAAGTGATTTATGTTACGCAAAAGAGAGTGACTTTAAAATGGTGTCCTCTCTTCAAAAAACTTAAGCATTTAGGTCACATATTATTATGTGCCCTTAAATTAGTGTCTCAAAGAAAAAATCAAAAACATGGAGGGCACTTTATATTAAACATGCGTCCTCTATAACCATCGCCTTTTAGTTTAATGAAATGTGTGCTTGTTATAAAATTGAGGTATTTACTAAAATATCTAGGGCTTTTCAAACAAAAATCAAAACACTCACTGATCATCACTCAATACACAAGGGGAAGAAGCACCTAGTATCCATGAAATCGATGATAAATTCAACACATTCAAGGGTTTCTCACCTTTTGAAGCTTCTCAAGTTGAAGACAAGGTAACATTTCAAGAAAACTGATGCTCTTAGTTGGGTTTCCTTCTCATGTATATGCTTGCACTTAGTTGGGTTTTCTCCTCCGATTGTCGATTATAGCTGATCTTTTCATGGTTTCGTCTTGTGTAAACTTCCATGGGAGTTGAATGAACTCAATTTCTATAAAGTTCATCTCTTTGGCGAACACACTCCATATCCATTTCTTGTTCAACATTGAGTTCTTTTAGCTGATTTAGGGTTTCTTTATTCTTCTCAACAACCTGAATAATGTACAATGTTACTACTATGATATTTTTCAAAATGGGTGTTCATTATTTTTAATGAGCTCAAAGAGTTACTTGTTCAGATCTTTGTACTTATGCACTTGTTTCAACAAGAGCACGATGCAAAACAGGAAGTTGAGGATCACCTACAACCTTCTCTGTTTCGCTAGACGTCATGCCTAAAATAGAAATGAGAATAAAATAGAAACGAGAATAAAAAAGAAATGAGAATAAAAGACATTCGAAATAATAATCAAATGCTTCAAAATGTTATACCTTTTCATTGATAATCGATTTTTATCCATGCAAGATGAAATAAAAAGAAAGGATATATGAACACAGAGGAAGGATCTAAAGGGAGCCATGATCATGTTTTGCATCAATCATGCTTAATTTTTACATTGAATTGAATTAGATCTCTTTGATTCCACTTCGAATAATATTTTGGTGAGCCTAAGGTAGCAAATAGAGATGAAAGTTAGCCAAGAAACAACTTTATGCAATTTATGAGGAAAAAGAAAGATGCACATATATTGGACTTGTTGTAGAAGCATAAATACAACACCTAATTACATAATACATACTACTAAAGATTTTTGAACCTCAGATTTCTTGAGCAATCTCTAATTCATTTAAGCTCTAATAATCCTCAGGTGATCATTTCAGCTTCAATTATGCCAACACCTATTAAAAATCATTTCAGCAATCTCTAATTCATTTAAGCTCTTTTCACCTGTTCAGAAACAACTTTGATTCCACTTTGAATAGTATCTCTTGTATTAAGAGTCTGAAATGATGTCAACACCTATTCAGATAATTTTAAAATTTTCTTGAGTAAGATTGTTGACTTGAAAAGCTTATAATGTTGCAGATAATTTTAAAATTTTCTTGATTTTAATTAAATTCTAATTTTATTTATGTAAAATTTTTATATTGTAGAATTTAGCTGAAGCTAGATATTGTTAGCGTTTTAATGTAAATTTTATTTAATTGGGTTCCCCTGTTTATGTACCTTCTAGTAGGAAAAGATGTTCCAGCTGCTGCAGCCTCAAAGGGTGATAAAGCAATAGTTTCTGCTATAAATTACACCGATATTCCACATACTCAGATAATACAAGGTATATTACTATTATTTATCATACATATTGATATACCCTTATCAAAACAACTTTATCTATAAAAACACAGACAAACTATTATGCACAGTGTTTACATGAACTATTAGGAAAACACCCATTTAAATCGTTGTTTTTGTCTAAGCATGTATATTATTTGATAAACTTAAAAAATCCTATTCTCCATTTTCTTAAAATTAACCTTGTGTGAAAAATAATTAAGAAGTCAACATACCATTTAAATTACTGTCATTAGGATCAATATCAGGAAAGCACAATAATCATGAAAACAGATGTTAGGAAAACTCCCATTTAAATCACTATTTTTGTCTATGCATGTATAGTAATTTCTTGGCATCCCATCTTCATCATCATACATTTCCCATATTTCACCTTCCCGAAAATACCCTTCGCTTCTTTCCCGATCAAAGTTGTGAATATCCGGATCCTGACATCAATCAGAAGTGGTGTCATTGTGTTCTTTCCTGGCAACTCATTGACCAAGTCTTCTTTTTGTTCTTCTTTCCGGTCAACCTTATAGTTGACCAACATTTCTGACTTCCATTGACTTAACCTTTCCTCGCATCACTAAATGAGGAAATATGATGTGATCTCTTTTTTTTCTTTTTAAAGCTTCTTTTCTTTCCCTTTTTACCCTTTCATAAGGATACAACTTTTCAACATAATTTATGTGCATGTTAATTTCACTATAATTATATCTATCTATCTATCTATTTTTAAGGATACATAAGTTTTTTATATTTCATTTTCTATTGTGACATATAAAGATGTGGGTCTTGGGTGCACATGTGGTATAAGAGAGAAACATTTTTTTTACTTTCTTGTCCTTTTAAATTAGGAATATAAGTCTTGGTACCTATTCAACTTGAACAAGATGTTAATTAATTGGCCTAAAACACATCTAGTATATATACAATTGGTTTCTGGTATATAAAATTATTTACTGCTATAAGAAAAAAAGATCAACAGATAGCTCTAGATATGTTAAGAGATCCATGCTTCTGAAATATATTTAAATGCCTCATCTACCCCTATGGATTTGTTCTCAATTGCTAAAAACAAACTCCATTTTTTAGTGCTTTTGTCAATTCAATTACTTGAAAAAATAACATTACTGCTTCTCGACAAAGAGCCATTTGCTGCACCATCTCCTTCACAATGATGAGTCATATTTTTCACTGTTATAACAGCTTCTACCAGTCATCACCTTAGCAGGTTTCTTCTTCACCTTCTCATCTTTATTTAGTCTAGTTTCATCGCTACTCGATTCCTCATCAGCACAATCATGACCTCAGTCAGATATGCACCACCATAAGAAGCACTCACAGCCATGCAACCATTTGGATGGAAAGCAACTACAAAAAATCCTGCATCCCTGTAAACATCACATGTTCACAAATGGTTTTATATATATATATATATATATATATATATATATATATATATAAAGTAAAAGATCTTATAAACAAGGAAAAACAAACATGTGTGGCTCATATATAACAGTAGACAAGGTGAAATCATTGTTATGTGGCCCATGTTCCCAATACTTGAGTTTTAAAAAGCCTCCTATTCCTTCTTCAGACATTCTGGTTTCAATAATTACCATCATAGACCCATCATATGAAAGTGCGACTTTATTCAAAACCCATCATATATATATATATATATATATATATATATATGTGTGTGTGTGTGTGTGTGTGTACATATTAAAGAATAATTTGTTTATCGGATTCGATATATTGTATGAATGAGAATAAAGGACCATTTTACCCTTATATGTTGAATAGAAAAATGAAAGCTTATTTTACATATGTAATACTCTTTGTTTGTATAATGTCTAGGCTAGTTTCACCACACAGGTTAGCTTCTCTTCTTGGTTCACCCAGAACTTTGATTTTTGCACACGGGTTAGCTTCTCTAAACAGAAGACTAAACTACCCCTAATTAAATGCTATGCTCTGAACTAGTCACCTCCTTTGACTAAAAGTTAGAATTAAACCCAACACCCACTTAATCTGTTTGCATATTTTGGTACTCCAAAGTCATGCTTTATTATAATAACATGCTGAAAAAGTAATATTAACAACATGCAATCCTGAACTACAATAAAAAGAAAACAATGATTTATACTAATAACATGCTGAAAAAGTAATTTACTAAATAAATAAATAAATAAAAATATCTGGATCTTGAAAAAGTAATTGATAACCTATAGGGCTAATGGCACAAAAAACCCTCAAATTTGCACAAAATTGACGGATTTGCCCAAAGTTCAAATTTAGGCCCATTTTTGCCTTAAACTTGCATTTATTGTGCCATTTTTGCCAAGTAGCCGGTTTCCCTTTAATCAGCCGGTTACCCACTTGCTTAGGTGGAAGGGTAATTAACATCGTTTGGAAAAATCTCCAATTCCGTTAGATACATTAAACTGTCACATCTCATCTCCCTTTATAACCCGATCACTCTTCACCTTTTCCCATTTCATCGACTTTATACACCGAGAAAAAACAAAGATTTTTCTTGGAGATGATTAGGTTAAAAGTGTTTTTCAACATTTCTTCGAAAGGTAAGGTTTTTACAGGTTGACTAAAATTACGTTTACATTCAAAATTTCTTGAAATGTGTTCCTAAAGTTAGCGTGTTGATGCAGGAGGGTGTAATGGCTTCATCAGATGAAGGGTACGCTGACCCCTTTGTTGGCATACATGAGCCATTTGCTGGCTTGACTGAAATGGATTTTGAACTCCACAACATTTACATGGACCACGAACAAGAGGAAGAATTTGTGTCCTCACTTGATAAATGTAAGGATATCTTCCTAAATGTTCTAATAAGTGATGAAAACCTACGAAATTCTAGTATGGCAGATGAAATCAGAGCACAAGTATACCATGCTACTGATTGGCAGAGTGATGAAGATGAATAGGATGTATTAAAAAACAACTATAGAATTCATGACCCAACCATCAAGTGGGACAAGATGGTACCAAAGCTTGGTGACATCTTTGAATCCCCTGCCCAACTGAAGTTTTGTGTCACCAATTATGCAGTCTCACATGGCTATAGAATATACTTTGAAAAATGTGATAGTAAAAGAATTATAGCTAGATGTGGAAATAGGAAGCAAGAGAAAAGATGCCCTTTCAGAATTTATGCTGCATGGATGTACAAAGAAAGATCTTTTCAGATCAAAGCTATGAATGGTGACCATAAATGTTATAGGCAGTTTAAGTTTGGATCCATTGTGTCCCCTGAATGGATTGGAAGACATTATGTGACTGAAATTGCAAATAAGCCAAAGATGAAACTTGAAGAAATGATTGACGACATCAGACAAAGGTATAGGTGTGTGGTATCTATAGGACAAGTTAGAAGGGCAAGGAAATGGGCCAAAAATTTAATAAAAGGTAAACTCAATAAGCATTATGCAAGGATATGGGATTATGCCCATGAATTGTTAAGGTCAAACCCGGGGTCCACATGTCAAGTTGGTGTAACAACCAATCCAGATGGAAATAATTATTTTCATAGGTTTTACATTTGTTTCAAAGCACTAAGTGTTAGCTGGAAAAGAGGATGTAGGAGAGTAATTGGGCTAGGTGGGTGCTTTTTAAAGGGGAAGGTGAAGAGTGAACTGCTAACTGCTATTGATAGAGATGCCCACAACCAGGTTTATCCAATTGCTTGGGCTGTTGTTGATGTGGAAAATAAGTCCAACTAGACTTGGTTCCTTGAGCTACTCAGTGGTGATCTAGACCTTATTGATGGAAGGGGGTTGGTAGTTATATCATATCAACATAAAGTAAGTTTCTTTATAACATATTAATCCTTTTTCAAATTACTTATAAATACTTACATGTATGCTAGTTTTTGTATAGGGTTTGTTGCAATCTGTTAAAGACATATTGCCACATATGGAGCACAGGCAATGTGCCTGATACATATATGAAAATTTTAGAAAAAATTACATTGGGTTAGAGTTCAAGAAGCTGTTTTGGGCTGCAACTATGAGCTGTGTGGAAGGTGATTTCAAGAAACATATGGACAAAATTAAAAAGCTGAATACTGGTGCATATGAGCATCTGATGTCCAAAGAACCCCAGCCATGGTGTAGAGCTTACATGAGTACAGGGTATGCATGTGAGGCAGTGGAGAATGGTATATCAGAGTGCTTCAAATCCATCATTGTGGATGCTAGGAAAAAACCATTGATCACAATGCTTAAAGAATTAAGGATATACATCATGGATAGGTTTGCTCACATGATTGAGGAAAGCACTAGATGGAATACCCGTATATGTCCAGTAGTGTTAAAGAAGATGAAGCTTTTTGGGAAGAACATGAGGTAAGACTTTAACATGTAACTTTTGTTTTAATTTCATTAGGTAACACTTTAACATGTAACTTGTGGATGTAGGTTTTGGTTAATAATTCATAGTCAACAACATGTTTTTGAAGCAAGGAGAGGATGTGATAGCGACATGGTGGATTTAGATGGAAGGCATTGTACCTGCAAGTTATGGGATCTGGCTGGGATCCCATGTGTTCATGTGATTGCAACCATCAACTATATCCATCAAACACCTGATGAGTATATTGATGACATGCTTTCCAAGGAGCAATTCCTTAAGTGTTACTCTGCTAACATTAGTCCAGTGAATGGTTCAAATCTATGGCCTCAAACTGAATACATAAAGCCCTTGCCACCAGTGTCAAGGAGAATGCCTGGTAGGCCAAAGGTTAATAGAAGGAGACATGTAACTGAAAATGATGGAAGAGTACACACCCGAAGAACTGTAAGGTGTGGTAAGTGCTTTGAGTATGGCCATAACCAAAAGGGATGCAAGAATGCAACCAGGGAACCTATCCCTATGCCACCAAAGAAGAAAGGAAGGCCAAGGAAGGAACAGTATGAACCAAATCAGGCATCATGTAATAGGTCTGAGAGGCAGGAACTTGTCCCTATGCCACCAAAGAAGAAAGGAAGGCCTAGGAAGGAACAATTTGAACCCAGTCAAGCATCATGTGATAGGTATGTGAGGTAAGAAGCAGTTCCTATGCCACCAAAGAAAAAAGGAAGGCCAAGGAAAAAGGTCCATTCTGAACCAAATCAATCATCAGGTTCTAAATCTGTTAAAAGCAAAAAAGATGGTTTAGATGGTCATGTTGAGGTAGGGGATGTGAGGAACAAGTGAAAATTTTGTTTGACAATGAAGATATTGATGATGACAGTCTGGTTGATATGATGTCCACTTTTGAAGCTTCTCTTAGCCAACCAAAGGATAATTATCAGAAAAGTGATGGATTCCAAGATGCAATGGATGCTATTATTCAAAGTATTCTTCATGCTAATGATGACAAAGGTGTTGAGGAAGTTGAACCTGGCCTGACAAAAAAAACTTGATGAGGGTGAAGATGCAATGGATTCTATTCTTAAAGGTACAGATGAAAAAAGTCAGTCTGAGAATGCGGGTAATCCTGAACCTGAATTCACTGAAGGAACTGCAAGAGATGTTCTCCCAGAGATGGTGATGGTAGACTAGAAAGTGTAGCAGACCTACTTGGGGCAGGATATAGCATGGCTGAAATAAAGAGCTTGAGAGGGTTTAAAGTTGAATTGGATGATATGCTAGCAGTTGAGATGGTTAGTTTGACTTCATCATTTTATAATTGCTAACATTATTAACAAACATGTTTATATCTTTTATTAATATTTTTATTAACAGGATGTGAATGAAGTTGAGGATATTCCATATGTTGATGGTGTGATGGAAGGAAATGAAGATAATGGTCTTATAAATGATGGTGTGGAGGAAAATGAGGGTGATGGTGAGGTTGATGATGCTGATGAAGTAGCAGGTGAGGGTGATGGTGATGGTGCTGGTGAGGGTGATGGAGAGGGTGATGGTGCTGGTGAGGTGAATGGAGAGGGTGATGGTGCTCGTGAGGATGATGCAAAAAATATGGAGGGAAATGATGCTGATGATGAAGGTCATGTACCACCTAGAAGGACAAGAAAGCCCTCAAAAAGGATCATCCTGCAAAAGCGGAAGAAACCTTGTTTTTGACAAAGATGGAAGGGGTTCCACATCTAGATATCCAGTAGATTTGGAGTACTTACCTAGGTATATGGGGGAAAAAGTGGGGATGGTATCATTGGACAATTGTATAGGTAGCCCTTTTTGGTTATTTTTTTTATATACACCCACTACTTGTAGCATACATCCATTTATTTAGTGTTACATTATTTCTTGCCTTTTTTTGGATATTGTTTAGGCTTTTGGGTACATGTTTTAATATACACAATGGATGGCTGCTAAATGCTAGTAAAACTTATGTAATGGATGCTTTATATTAAGGTTTATAATGGATGCCCCCTATTATAGTAACCATGATGTTTTTATTTTATTTTCTAGTACATGTTAAGCATTAGCAATGTACTTTCATTAGTGCAATTCCTTTTATGCAAGTTATTGCAATTCCATTCATGCAAAGTTTACTTTCATTGTGAATGTAACCAAGGGTATTTTAGTACAATTCCTTTTATGCAATGTACTTTCATTGTACTTCGTTTCATGCATCATATACATGAGATAGCAATTAACTACCATTAATACCCTTAATTCATTACAAACATCCAACATTCAACCAAATGCAAGTTAGTGCAATTCCATTCATGCAATTCCATTAATACCATTCATGCAATTCCACTCATGTAATTCCATTAATACCATTAGTGCAACATTTAGCCATATGCAAAGTAAGATAGTAATTAACTACCATTAATAACATTACCATTAATACCCTTCATACATTAGTGCAATTCCATTCATGCAAAGTTTACGTTCATTGTGAATGTAACCAAGGGTATTTTAGTACAATTCCTTTTACGCAATGTACTTTCATTATATTTCCATTCATGGAACATATACATGAGATAGCAATTAACTACCATTAATAAAATAACCATTAATACCCTTAATATATTACAAACATGTAACATTCAGCCGTTAAAAAAACATTACAAAGGTGTAACAATTCTTGATTATCCTTAATATATTACTAATACAGGAAAACCAACAAAACTACATCTTAATAACCACTATTCCTAGCATTAGCGATATAACCACTAACAACCCTATGATCACTTCTAACAATGGCTTGATCTCCTCTGTATGACACATCTCCAAATGTTGACCTAGTTCTTCACCCGCCCATTTGAAAAAACCACAGTTGCCTCCTTCCACCTACAACAAAAAAAAATTAGGGTTCTATTACATACATTCCTCTTTGGGAAGTTAGAGCAGCCCTAAAATTTTATGGAGAAATTAGTACAAAAATAAATAGATTTTTACCTGATAATTAGGATAGCCCCAAAATTTTCGTCCTGGATTATTAGGTGTTCGTGAGACTGATACACCACAAACATCACCATAGTTGCATCTTATTACCTTCTTGTTCCTCATTCTTGTACCACCATTAAAGCTTGATCTTGAAGACGAAGTTGTCATTTTTCCGTTGTAGTCTGTCACTAACTGTGGGGGTCGAAGGGATCACTTACACACGAGGATGTCTGTGAAAGAGTTATTATATGATAAATGCCAAGTATCTTCCACCTAAGCAAGTGGGTAACCGGTTGATTAAAGGGAAATCGGCTACTTGGCAAAAACGGCACAATAAATGCAAGTTTAAGGCAAAAATGGACCTAAATTTGAACTTTTGGCAAATCCTTCAATTTTGTGCAAATTTGAGGGTTTTTGTGCCATTAGCCCTAACCTATATAGTTTTGTTTTTGTACAGTTTTGCTGTCTGCATTAGTTTTGTCCGTGTATAGTTTTGGTCCCTGCATCAGTTTTGGCGCCTGTACAGTTTTGGCTTGTTAGTACTTTCTCATCCTTTTTTTGCTTTAATTTGATCATTTATGTAGATTAAATATGTTAAAAAGTCAGGAAAACAAACATAACAAATAATGGCCAATAAAACCATGAAAAAACATTCTAAAAACACAACTAAATATTGATGTTATTTAATTATCATAACATAGTTACATAAGGAAAAAAAATTCATTTGCTCATTTTTATATCCCATCACAACATAGCTCCATACCACCACTTATGGATACAACGTAGCTCCATACCACCAGTTATCTTCACGAACCAAACATGCAACTTTATTTTCATCAATTCCATAAATATCCCTCCATGCACACCCTCTTTGCAAAACCATGTCTCTAAATTTCATAGTTTTTGCATCATCCTGCACATGTAAAACAAATATAAATATTAAATTTTATAAAGGATGTTGTATTTCTCATATATAAACACATATTGAACACATACCTTAACAACCGCTGAGTGCAAAACCACCTTATGATTAACATAGTCATGATAAATAAGAGGCACTTCAATGAAATAAGATATTGAGTGTGTAAAATAATCAGGGGACATGTATCCAATCACAAGTGGTCTTTCTAGATTTTTGGATTTTCCCATGCAATATATTGAGAATATAATCTCATGAACCTCTGTCCCTAGTCCCTATAACCATATAACCAAAAAAATTACAAAAATGCCCTTGAAATGAAATGGGTTAGAATTGGAGTTACAAGAACCTATGAGCTTCAATGGCCAAAGATATACTTCCAACATCTCTGTAAAGAACCCCTATGTTATTATAAGCTTCTGCATACTATTCACGCTAGCAGCAACATCCATTTTACGCTGAAGTAATATGATTAAAATATAAAAACATAAAAACGAAGAATATCAAATATTGTTAGATACTGAGAGATTATATTTACCTGAACTGTGTAGACCACTCCAAGGTTGTTAAAAGACTAGGAGAAATTGGGCTTGATCGATAAAGCCAACTTCAAGAGGATAAAAAAGTATAATCTATTAAAATTAAACGAACATGTATTTGACATCTGAGAAGTGTAAAAAGAAAATTTTATTACCTGATAACACTCCATTGCTTTATCAAGATTGTCTCTATCTTTGTATATAACTCCAAGATTATTGCATGCCTTAGAAAATTTAATTACCTGATAACACTCCACTTCTATATCAATATTGTCTTTATCTTTTTATATAACTCCAAGATTATTATCCTTATATAGTTTTGGTCCCTGCATTAGTTTTGGCCCCTGTATAGTTTTTTTGTCCCTGTACAGTTTTGGCCCTTATACAATTTTGTTTTTGCACAGTTTTTGTCCCTACACATGCGTAATCATTTTTGCTTTAAATGGTAAATAATTATGTAGGTTGGAAACAAATGTTTAATGGATAAATCATTGATTTCCTCTAGTAGATTATCAAATTCATATGATGAAGGTGTGAATGCTTTTCTAGAGTTAGCACAAAGTAATAATCCAAAGTTAGATGCTATTCCATGCCCTTGTGTAAATTGCATCAATTTGTGTCACCACTCAATTGACAATGTCCGTTATCATTGTTTTGCCCACGGCTTCGATGAAAATTATAAGATTTTGTCTTTCCATGGAGAAAAACAACCCAGGATTGATTCTTGATGACCTAACAATTCAATTCCTCCTGATGCTATTTATACAAAGGATATGCTACATGATGCCTTCAAATATGTAGACGAAGAATCCGATTCATTGAAATCACTTCTTGAAGAATGTGATAAGCCACTTTATGTATGGTCAAAGTATAACACACTTAGTGGATTACTGAAATTCCAACATTTGAAGGGTCAGTTTGGATGGTCCGATGCTAGTTTTGATGCTTTGTTGTCTGTCCTAAAAGATATCTTACCATCAAATCATACCATCCGTAGCTCGATATATGAGTCCAAGAAGTTGCTAAAAGGAGTAGGTCTACAATATGAGAATATTCATGCATGTGAAAATGATTGTGTGCTATTCTGGAAAGAACATAAAGATGCTTCTCGATGTCCAACTTGTGGCACCTGTCGTTGGAAGAAGAATACCAAAAACGTACCTTCAAAAGTTTTGTGGTATTTTCCTATCATCCCTAGATTTAGAAGAATGTTTTCAATACCAAAAATTGCACATCACTTAACTTGGCATGCACAAGGTCGGGTCACTAATAGGAAGCTTACTCATCCTCGCGATACCCCTTCTTGGAAGCTTATTGATAACACGTGGAAAGAATTCGAACAAGAAAAACGAAACCTTAGATTAGCCTTTTCTGCTGATGGTATCAATCATCGCATATCATTCACTTCCAAGCATAGTTGTTGGCCGGTTATCCTAATAACATATTATCTATCCTCTTATTTGTGTATGTCAAGAAAATTCATGATGTTGACTCTTTTGACATCCGAGCCAAACCAACATAGTAAAAATATTGATGTCTACTTGGCACCATTGACACAAGGTCTAAAACTCTTGTGGGAAACTAGCGTTGAGACTTTTGATTC